AAATATACGAGTACGCAATTTACACAACAATCGCGATAATGATCATTTCGCTCATCGGGATCAATATTTTTTATGATATTGTATAAGATAATCTCAAAAATATGTTTTTAATACTGTTATAACAATGCACACAACATTACTGTTTATTTATATTAATGTTTTAGAGGTATTTTATTCAATTCTTTCGATTTACTAGGTAAGAAAGTGCCTATTAAAAAGAAACTGAGACCATTTCTAAAATCTTATAAAGAGAATAAATGAGATTTACAATTCACATTTTATATCTTTAGCACAATTCCTTCTCAAGCGATCCTTCGAGCCGGATGAAACTTCACAATTTTTTAAAGCGACATAAACACACGAATGTCAGTATTTAATGCAATTATTTACTGAAATAACATTAAACTACGTTTCCGAATTAAATTTGGGGCAATAGGATTTATAAATCCACGAATACACAAAACTACTCACTCATATTATCAAGTTTCTCAAGAACAATTGTCCATTCCTTCAAAGCTGATAATCATATTAAAACTCGCTCTATCTAACTTCATTTTGCGTAATAACTGCATCTCATATTGGTTTAATTAGCCCAAGCCATGACAACTTTGGAGAATGGTACAAATAAAGCGGTATACTGCGGTGGAGCAAGAAAATATCTCCTGCCGCGGTAAGTCCCGTCATTGCGAGGCATGTTCGGGTACTGCGTCAGTGAAAACTCCGCGCCCACTACTACCCCGCTGTTCGCCGCGCTGCTACCCGCAATACCTACGTATCTAAATGGAAAACATAGCAGTATAATTCTATAAATTTGAATGCAGTATAATATGAAACGAATATATTCGTGTATCCTATTTGTTTCTCATATATCTCAAATAATAAAGAAAGAAATGAACATTGTTTATATTTTATGCTATATACCAAACAAAGAAAGAGGTAGATAATATAATAGAGATGTAGAATGTCTTCATGTTTTTTTACAGTTTACTAAAAATTATGAAGATATATTTAAAAAATAACAGTTGATTTTTCATGTGATTTACAACTAAAAATAGTTTTTCTAAAATTTTAATTGAAACGCCAGTGACGTCATTATTCAGTAACGCCACCGAACCACTAAATGATAAAACACTCATGTTTGCGTTGTCAAAATTAAAAAAAAAATTGTCACATGGTGATCTAAATATAGAAAATACAAATGGATAGCATGATTGCGATTGGCTCACAGCCTCAACGGATATAATGACGTCACAACCAATCACAAGTGGCTTTTCTTCATTCAAAAATTTTACTCTTTTATTAATAATTAATAAAAAATGTAATTGTTAATAAAAACATATACTCAAATGAATGAATTATGAATGGATGGATTATTCTTTCATTTATATATAAATTTGTGGCAAAAAAATGATGAAACTTCTCTATATTAAATTCAAATAAATAAACACATATTATACTTAGAGAATTTAAATTTAAATAGCAAATATTATGTTAAAATAAAATAAACTAAGAATTTTAAGCACGATAATTGAACAATGCATGTGCATATCGACACAAAAAACATTTCATTTATCTTTAGTTACGAATACCCGCAAAAGCGATTGTAAACATAGTTCACTTATTTGAAGCTTATAGGTAATGTGCAAAAAAATTTGAATTTTGTTCCAATGCCTTGCTCAAGCTATAAAAGCATTTTTCATTTTGAATTTTGTGAATGATTTGAAACACCTTAATTGCACGTTAAAATGCAACAACCTGTATATTAAAGCAGGGTGACATGCATAAAATGCATTTTGGTTCAGTAACGCGATGAAAAAAAAGTGTTTTTCTTACCTAACCCTACCAACAGCGAGGCGACCTTGTGGAGTGATCAGTTTGACGGCGTGGCCCAAACGCAACTGTCGTGCTTCGTTCGGTATATAAGGCTCGCCCGTGGACATGCGATCGGCTGTCGACAAAATTGACAATAAATGTTTATCTAAATATAAAATAGAAGTGTATGTGTGTAATATTGAAATAACTGGCTCCTGTTAAGCTCGTGAGGTTATTTTCATGATATTAATACATAAATAATAATAAAAAGAAACAATACCAGGATCTCTTATGTGGTAGAACCACGCTGCAGCTATATTATAGTTGTAGCACAAATGGGTTGGCTCGACCGGGGCAGGTCCACACTCTCACAGAATACCAGCGTAAAATAGCAGCTTAATGCTGTTGTGTTTCGTATGGTGAGTGTAGTGAACCGGAGATCCTTTTTACTGGAATCGAGGCACATCTTAGTCCTCAGGGGTGACAGCGCGTTTGCATTTTGATTCTTGATTGAGGATAAATGTGGATGTCTATGGACCAGCATTCAATTACCATCGGGTGTACTGTATGCTATAAAAAAGGATCGAGGCTATATTTTATACAAAAAAAACCTTAAATTTAAAAAAGAAACGAAAATTTGATAGAATAAATGGTCTTTAACTATACCTAATCTGATTAACGCCACCACATTAATAGATCCCATCCCGGTGTAGCTGAGGCGGGTCGGTCTAACATAATAACGAAATTTATCAAAATTTATAATTGCTTGGAATTGACAGGAGATCAGTGCCTAGAAGTAGGACGTATATATATGGCTGTAGCTTTACAGTTGTGCTTATGAAATGCTGACGGATTCTTACATGGTTATTCATGTTAGAAGTTGTTCTTATGAACAACTATAGTACTTGTTGGTAATATGGTCTTTCGGTTAATATGGTCTCTTTGTGATAACTCAAGAACTACAGCCTTGTTTGCATAGATGACTTTGTGATACGATAGCATTTCATCGGTCAATCAAATAGTAAAGGTATACACACAATACTTCGTAAGCATAAGGGACTGCCATACGTTCCATCTCAAAAGCGCAACAAGACCAAAGTCTGCACAACAGCTTCACACCGGACCACTTTGGCAAAACGGCATTACTTTGTTATAAGTTCCTATCTCTATAACATCGCAAATAAAGCTCTGAATATTTATCCTTTAACCCTAAAGCAATGTAAATTCGTTACCCGGGATTGGTTATTAAACCTAGAATTTGATGATATAGAAAACATTATTCGGGTCAAAAACCTTAAACAACAAACCTCAATTACATACGTCAGTTAACACACACACAAACACACACATACACGCTCTTACATAACACACTCATTCTAATACTCATAACACATACATACATAATACATAAACACTCACGCCTGTCATCCAGAGGGGTAGGCAGAGACTACGGACTTCCATTTGGCACGATCCTGACATACCTCTTTCGCCTCCTTTACATCCATATATCTACGCATACATGCTAGTCGGTTAAGGGTACTTCTAATGTGGCCCATTTTCAAAATATCGCCAATTTGGTCGACAAACTTTTTTCTAGGGCGTCCCTTCCTGACTCGGCCGTTCACATCTGCCATATAAATTTGCTTTGTCACTCTTTCCTCATTCATTCTTTCTACATGACCAAACCACCGAAGCATTCCTTTCTTAATCCTGGTCACAACATCATCTTGCATACCACATTTATCTCTTATCACGCAATTTCTCACCCTATCATTCAGATTCAACCCTAGCATATTCCTTAAAGACCGCATTTCTACAGCATTTATTATTTTACTCATAACACACACCCAACCAATCATACAAAAATATTATCCCTTATACACTTACGCTCCGTGCTTATAATTATACCATACACCAAACACAACTATTTTTGATTTTAAATATTGTTTGCAAAAAAAAATTGTATAAGAACTAACGTATTAGGTAATATTACTTGAATACCCAGAGTGGAAGGCGCAGGCAGTCGTGGCGCAGTTTATAATAATACGGCTGCCGACGTTAACCTCTCAATGTTATGAATGGAATTTTTTATTTAAATAGTGTAAGTTATGATGTAAAATTAGTGGAGTGAATAAACAAATATTTATTTATTTATTTATTAAAGTGACAAAAGGACGATGCTTTATCGACGCTATTTTGACAGTTGACATTAGAGTAAACATTTTAGGCGATTTTAATATGGTATACTGAGGTTAGTTCTTTTAAGTAGATTTTTTGGAAGTGCTCCTAATTATTGCCAAATCTTGTTTGCTATTCTTTTCTTAATATCTTAGTTGTAGTATACGACTTTATGTTTTTGTCTCCGTCCTCCTCCTAGTTTTGGTTTTATACGGCGGCAAAACTTAGTTACATACCCATATTACCCTCAAGTACCTTAATTGTGTTAAACACAAACAAACCTACAAACTGGGTTGTTTTTAAGGCAGAAGTGAATAGGCCTTTGTTAAGCTAAATCAGCGTGGTTTACCATCTTCAGCTACATCAGGGGGGGGGGGGGTTCTAGACAAGCAAGCTGGCTTATAATAGTTAGGATTTTAAAATAATATACGGCTTTTAAATACTAGTTGTCAACTATAGAAAATGCCAGGTAGGTCTCCTGACTTGCAATACTTTGATGGTGGTATAACCATCTCATATGCCAATGCCACAACAAAATTCTAGAAAGATGTTAATGACCACCGTCAAAGGAAGAGAGTACTATTGTGTTAAAAGTGTGGCGGGGCCATAGAATACTATAATACATAATAGAACGGCTGTCAACCTTATTTTGTAAGAGGATAGGCGTCGCCGGGAGCACACATACCACCAATTACGTCGTATTATTAGTTAATCACTACTACAATCCCGATTTGCTGCGTTGAGAGACGGATTTTAATACATATTTATTTTCAAATAGCGTGCAATTTGGCATTATCTAAATAATTTGCATGCGAAATTTGGAAACGATTGTAACGTCGAAACACATCTAGTGTTGACATTTCGTGTAGACATTTATACGTGTGAATTGACGTGTTAGTGGCATTTTAGTGGCTACACGGGCTCCGCCCACTCCCCCGTTCTATTATGTATATATTATAGTATTCTGTGGGCGGCACGGTAAATCCCCTCTAGCATAGCAAAGGCCATTCCTACCATGATAACGACCATGATGAATAACCTTTACCTTCATTATAAGTAGAAGTGAGGTTATCAATCGAACGGCGAAGAAATGTCTCCGCTTCTTCCAGCAACTCGTCCGTATCGTCGCGCGAATCATGTCTGACATCCGGCAGCGACCCACGCCAAGGCCGATATTCAACTGCGAATAATAAATTCCTATGTAAACGGTAAGAAATCAAAACTTCAAATATATTAAATGACCAATGGCGAATGTGCTAACGTTATTAGGAACGAGTACTCTTAACCACTCGAATTCGGGGTCATTTTGGCCAATGTGGCGCACCTGTCAAGCACTTTCCGAAGTACTAAGTAAGTATATAAAAAGTATACTAAGTATATATATATATATATATATATATATGATATTTATATACTAACTAAGTATATAAAAATCATATTCAATGGAAACGATTAAAAGCTATAAGAAGCATAATGATACATATGTTATATAATATATGTATGTTATATATCATATATATGTCACAGTTTGATATCACTCGACGCCATATTATGGCGTTTGACAGATGCGCATATTATTTGAGACGCCAGAATATGGCGTTTGTACAGACGAGGGGTTAAATCAAAAGCCACTACCAAAATTTATAGAATTAACATGTCTATTACTCTGCTTTCAATATAATTTTATCTACAGTACACCATTACCTTTGATAGGCGGATTGTAGTTGATCTGCGGCGTCCAGTCGTTGCTCCTGTCCATGCTTAGGCATGGAGAGCGGTATGACGATCCACGAGAGAGGTATCTAAGAAAAAAAAATCTGCTATTTAATAGGCAATAAAAAAATAGTTTTTTCAAACTTTCAACATTGAACGCATAACGTTAATACGCACTCGCGTACGATGCATTCGATGTTAAAAGTATACGCATACTCAACCTTTATGAAAATTTACGAGAAAACTTACGGATAATTGCATTGTGTAATGAAGCCTGAAATTATTCATTCCTTTAGGTATTTAGAACAGTCAAACAGTGGCGAAGCCTCCATAGGAGCCGAAAAGCCAGGCTTGCCTTATCAAACTGAATCAATCAATAATATCAACTAATAAAATAACTCGTAAACTGTTACAAACTATTTCAAATTTCCCGCGTACTCGACTGTTCGGCACAGGTATGACTTCGTATTGCCTTAGCGATACTGCTGCTGTCAAAAAAATGAGTTTTAATAGAGCGATTAGCCGTCACGCTCGCTCGCGTTGGCTTTTATGGGGCTTTCGAGAAGACGATCGCTCTCTTTCTAACCCATGACAAAATATTCTATAATGAAATATAACTACGATTGTATACAGGGTGTTAGTATACACACCGTTATCCTTGAAACCAGTGGTTTGGTTTCACTTATAGAGCGTAAATTCAATTAATTTAAAAAAAACGCTATTTTCTGTCATAAAATTTAAAAAGTTTCTGTCCGACACCGTCCATAAACTCATGGAGATACCCTATACGCCCGAGTGACGTAATCACTATAAAGATCACCGCCCGCGCTAGCTACCTACACAACATTCCAATAAAATCACAATAGGTACACATAACCTGTGATGTAACTTTTCCTTTATACTTTCATTCTGGCTTAGGACGGAAAAATTGAGGAATTAAGGAAAAATTGAGATTTTACAAAAAAAAAGTTGTTATTTTTTCATTAAATTTACATTCTATAGGTGAAACCAAACCACTGGTTTCAAGGATAACGGTGTTTACACTAACAACCTGTATATAGCAATTAGTATAGAGAATTAAAGACAGGCTTTAGGAATGAAGTTGTCGAGAGCGGAGGCGCGCGCGCAATACGTTTGCAAGTTCATTTCACATTTCAATGTTTATTTACTCTGTGTGTTTAGCTTAAGCGATTTAATATTGCGAGTTGAAAATTTATGCTTTTTTTAAAGATTTTTAGTGAAAATGGAGGATAATAGTGTTCCTTGTGACGAATTTAAGTGTGTTAAAGTGCTAATCGGAGAGGAAATCATTAAACTTTGTTGAGATAATACACAAGGTCAAGATGGTATTTCAGACTTATCAATTATCGCAATTAAAAAACAGTTATTGGCACAATTTAAACGTTCACCAACATTTTACGCGGACGTAATTAAATCTTTCCTAAGAAAGAGAGACGATTCCATTTAGAATGTAAATAATTTGTTTTTTAGTTTTGTAGTACATAGTTTGTTTGTACTTTATTCATGTTTTACTTTTATTCATGTATTGTATTGTATGTAAATATCTTTTTCTTTCGCTCAAACAAACCCAAACGGCTTTTTTCAAAGCCACCGAAGCTATGCAATTGCTGTATGTAATACAACCTATCTAGCAGTAGTATGTCGGCTTTAGTATGCCTTCTGTGTGCTTTGTTAAACACGTCCTTGACAGCACTGAATTTGAAAACTGAAGCGTGGAGACAGATCAAGATTGGCGTATTTTTATAAAATTGCTAAAAACAACAATCTATATTTTTATCAATTTATATCTTGGGCTTGCCCTAGTTAGGAGCTCTAGCTTCGCCACCGCAGTCAAACTTTGTTACTTCATAGTTTGGCCAATATGCAAGGCTTAAAATTAGGTAAAATAAGCTCTTCTTTAAGAATATTACCAGATCTAAAATATTTGTACATCCTATATTCATTCTTTAGAGCCATTTAAATATTCGACGTCTTCCTGAAGTCGATGGATCTCTCACCAGATTCAGGAAGTCGATGTATGCAGGTTGCTCGAAACCGTGCTTTGTGGCATTTCTTGGGAAAGGCCTATGTCCAGCAGTGGATATTTGAATGGCTGTAAAGAATGAATGAATATATGATGTACGACTATTTTTGATCTTGTAATATTTAAAAAAAAAACAGCTTATTTTATCTAATTTTAAGCCATATATAACAGTCATGAGATTAAGTGTGATCCTAAATTACTAAATGTATTTATACGACTTTACGAGTTTTAATTAGTTACGTACTTGCTGTTCAATATTATCATAAGCTCTCATGAATTTTGAGTTGTCACAAGGAGTCGATATGTAACCTATTTTATTCCTCTTGCATTTGACATTTCTAGTAGATAACATTCTACTTTGATGAGGTCAATTACAACATAAATCGTAGATAGATGAAAGTCTTTACTCACCTTGGCTGCGGCGATTCAGAAGGCCCGCGGCGCATATTCCAGAGGGGCTCTGCTGAACGCGATAACTCTGGTACCATTGATGTAAAACCTAACCAAAATACAACTTAATTGAAAAAAGACGCAGTGCCAGACGTTCACTTGATAAACGTACACTTTCGACCTATATACTCCATTTAAAATTGAAGCGACAAACGAACTTATAGTTCGTTTGTCGCTTCGAAAACGAAGTGTTAGATGGACCTTAAAAACTAGATTTGAATTTAAAATAGACAGAAAAGTCAGTAAGCAGAAAAAAGTAAGTTAGCAAACAGTTTATGACTACCGTCATAGGTGATGACTGTCTACTGATTTAAGCTGTTGTAGTATAAATCTCCCAAAATCTCCGCTATGTGATGCATCAGAATAAAATGAAAAATCTTGAAAACAAAATACACGTCGGACTACGTTGTATGGTCTAAAACCTTTGTCTGCTTTAATTGGCGAATCGTAACCACAACTAATGTACTCAACCAAATCTAAGAAATACCTTTTGATGTATAACAATAATTTTGTAATAACCTCGTACAAACGTACCACAGGTTTAAATAATCATTTTACATAAATCCCATTAATAGGGTATTACAACCCTTTTCAAATAGTGTTTTGAAATGAATCCTAGAGTGATAATAAACCACTATAATTTTAATATATTTTTTTAAACCGAAAAGTACCATAAAACTTCGAAATTTTAAAACGATAAATCAGATCGTTTTAAAATTTCGTACGAAAACGCTAGCTGCCATGCTGCTAAGGTCGTGACGCCACTGGCCTAGGATTTTTCCGATTTTGCAAAGGTATAAGATATTTTGATGAGTTATCATGTTTATTGCAAAATACAAGCGTAAGAACGCCGGGGAAGTTATAGATTCAAGTGACAACCAATTTAAATGTGAGAAATACTTGGTTAAAACTGTCAAGAAGAGACCTGAATACATTGTTTACAAAACTAGACTATACGTCTGTGAAAATCATTTTGATTTAAGTATGACTTATATTTAACTGTCGTTTGTACAAAACAAAATATCTTGAGGTGATAGGTATTGCAAGTAACATTTTGTAATTAATTAGGTTATTTTAGATATTATAACAAATGATTACTAATGATTGTAATTATAGATAAACTAAAGTATGATAGCTACTAAACTATGTTTTATCAAAATACACTCTCACCTGCTATTGTGTTATTTACATTCTCAACTCGGCAGAACAAAAATCTAGATGTGCAAAAAAAATTACCACCAATGTATTTATCCCTGGTAGATTTGTACTTTCTGTTAGAATTTGTCCGTGCCTTTTCAACAAATTCGGAATAACTAAACTCTCCCTATCTCTATGAAATTTTTTTTTGTGAGGTTTGCTGAAGGAAGCATGTGCCCATGTCACAAAGGATGATTGGGCAAAAGTGGAGGAGAAAACAAAAAAAATTATTATGGATAACTTTGAAAGAGACATCAATTTTGACTACATTATTGAAAATCAAATAATAATTTAAACAATTACAGCTCAACTAGCTGTAGTAAAAGTGACAGAATAAATTTATTTTTAATCTAGTTTCAAGTTTAAATTGCTGATAAATCTGATAAATCTTGTGTTTTAAATAATCCGTTTCTAATTTATTCTGGTATTAATCGAAACAAAACCGTACATTATTACCAACTCTAAAGGATCGATATCGATCTTTTTTAAGAATCGAATATTGTACGTACCGATTTTTGGTTGTTATACCTAGTACATGTCTGACAACTGTGAAAAGGTATTTCTTAGATTTGGTTGAGTATAACAAATGTGACGCACCGATATCGCTGAGCAGCACGCGGCGCGCCTCGTCGCTGCGGCGCGTGAGCGGGCGACGCGCGTCCGGCTCCGGCACCGCGAGACGCCGCCCCGCGCCCCCCGCGCCAGCACCGCTGCGCTGCGGCACTGTCGCACCCGCAATTGCTCCCACGCTCGCAGTACGCGACGAGCTCTGTCGTCATTCATATAGTTACGTGGTAGTTACGCTACGGCGACAATGAGGGTAACTTGAATGATGAATTTTTACGTGGTAGTGCCATGCTGCAGCTATATTAGTAATATAGTTGCAGCACGAATGTAGGATCGGGTTGACCGGGGAAGGGCCACGATCTCACAGAATACCAGCGTAAAATAGCAGCTTAACACTGCTGTTTCGTATTGTGAGTGTATAGAACCGGAGACCCTTTTTACTGGAAACGAGGCATTCCAACTTAGTCCTCACTGGTGACAACACATTTGCATTTTAATTCGTAATCGAGTATAGATGCATATGTCTATGGGCCACAGCAACCACTTACCATCAGGTGGACCGGTGCTCGTTTGTCATCCTTATCCTATTTAAAAAAAAAACACTTGCAAGTAATATGTACGACATACTAGAAGAGGCGCCAAGACTTTGCTGTTTGCAATACGCGTTACAACCCACGTGCTCAAACGTAATCTGTGCCATTAATGAGTACTCTGTGCCTCCGTCCACACGAACCTCACTGCCGCACACAGATTTTGTTTGCAATGTCTGTTCCTATACGTAGTACATATAACTTCAATGGGTAGCATGACTTTCTGCCACATGGGAATGCAGTGAAATATTTAATAGATTGCATGTCGGGGGGAAGCTAATTTGTTCGGAAAAAGAATGAGCAAACGAGCATGCGGTTAACCTTAACAAATGCAACACCAGGGGAATCGCAGGTGCGTTGCCGGCCTTTTAAAAAAGAGTAAGATCGTTTCTTGAAGGTCCCAAAGTCGTATCGATCCGCAAAAATCGCCGATGTTAAACTATTAAACAAACAAGACGTGCGAGCAAAAAAAACTCATTGTAAATGGCGCAATGGTGGACCGAGACTTAATGCTTATTAAGATGGCGTAGATGGTGCCGTCAGATTTAGAGATAGTATTAAGCGTTGGTAAAAGAACAATGACTACTCTCCTAACATGCTCAAACTAGTAAAATCTAATAGAATGTACCTTGTTTCATTTGTCTTTTTAAATACAAGAATTAAAGGCATTTAGTATATTTTTCAAAGTACGGAGAATCTATGTTTTTTATGTGGTATATTTTCTATCTGCAGCATTTTAAAATGAAGGTTTTTCTTAGTTCAATAATTAACATAATTTAATACGGTTAGTTAATTTAATACTCTTTGGTACCAATGGAAAACTTAAGTAAAACGTAGTGATTGTATACTCTTTGTTCCTTAGGAACTAATTAAGTTATATTATTTAGCCAGCGCCAAGCGAAACACACCGAAGCCTAAATCACGCTGTCAAAGTACCGTAGTGCCGCGCTATATATGGAACAGCTCCGAAATAACACAGCATAGTCTCCTCCTCACACCGATCACCTTGCCCGATGGAAAATCTCCTCTTTTCCTTCCACGGCCAAAGACGGTTATTTATTTTAAAAATAACACAACTCTTAAAAATAAACTGATAATATTCATTAATAAAATTTACAATATTCTACATTTTTGTGACAGTCTCATGTCGGTAACAATTTATGTTTTTTAAAGTCCAAAATTGCCATTGTACTTTGGCGATTGGAATTAATCCGAATAATTGCTCAGAACTCTCTTGTGGTAAAAAAAATGTAATAGGATGCAACAACTCTTTGCAGCGTCAGTGAATCGAGCCGTTGAGACTTGGATAGACTGCAAGGGTACGGTAATTTTTTATAGAATAAGGATGACAAACGAGTGAGTAATTCACCTGATGGTAAGTGGATGCTGTGGCTCATTGATATCTACGTTCATCCTCAATTAAGAATCAAAATGCAGATGCGTTGTCTTCCCTGGGGACTAAGGCGGAATGCCAGTAAAAAGGGTATCCGTTTCTTCACACTCACCATACGAAACAGGTTTAGATACTATTTTACGCTGGTAGTGGCAGTAGAATAAAAACAGTAGAAATGCGGTCGTTAAGGAGTATGTTAGGACTGAATCTGAATGAGAGAGGGAGAAATTGTGTGATAAGAGAAGAGTGTGGTTTGCAAGATGATGTTGTGACCAGGATTAAGAAAGGAATGCTTCAGTGGTTTGGTCATGTGGAAAGAGAATGTCATGAGTCAGGAAAGAGTGACAAAGAAAAATTATGTTGCGGAAGTGAATGGCAGAGTCGGAAAGGTACGCCCTAGGCGAAAATTTATAGACCAAATTAGATTTATTGAAAACGCGCCGTATTAGAAGTCCCTTAACCGACGAGCACGTATGCGTAGGTATATGGATGTGAAGGAGACGAGAGAGATCTGTCAGGATAGTGATAAATGGAAGTCTGTAGTCTCTGCCTACCCCTCTGGGTGACAAGCGTGAGTGTTTATGTATATGTTTACGGTGGTATTCTGTGGGAACGTGGTTGTACCCCGATCGAGCAGAGCTACTCGTGCTATAATCATAATATAAGTGTAGCGTGGCTCCGACACGTGGAGGCGGTGGTGGTGACCTTGTGAGCCAGGTATCCGTCGGAGGTCCAGGTGTGCGGCAACGCGGAGACGTCGGTCTGCGCGCAGCCGTCGCGGCGCGAGCTGCCGCTCTCGCGCAGCACCGGCCGCCGCGCCGCCAGGCAGCGACCGCGCGACGAGCCGCGGTACGGCAGCGCCCTGTCAACATTCACATTAGCTGCGAGGCTACTCCTCGGGAATCCACCTGTACACACAGGTTGACTACAACACCACTTATGACGGAGGCCGAGCCCGGAATGAGTCAGTGTATTTAGTAAAATATATTCTAACAAGGCTGCTCAAAATACCGAATATTTCGGAATTTACAAGCCGTGAAAAGTTAATAATAACTAAACAAAACAAAACTGGCTTCCCACATGACAGATGAAGAGATTAAAAAATAGATTGAGTTGAACAATTGATATTTTTAAACGTACACGTAAGCACAAGTGCACTCTCTCATAATCCCACACGCTCATAATCCGACGAACCAGTAATCCGACATGCCTAGAAAGAGATCAGGCACAAGATTAACGACTTTACGTACTTTCCGAGGCACGAGCGTGAAATTTCCAGGACTCCGGACTGCAACTGAGAACCTCCTAACAGTAAAAACTATTTCGACCCGACCCAGGATTCGAATCCAGGACCTCAAGATCAGCAATCGCGTTGACGACCGCTAGACCAACGAGGCAGTCATACAATACTACTGTACTAATACATTATGCATTCAGTTACGGTCAATTCTCCGTAACTCCTTTAGTAGACTGCGAACGGCCGAGAATAATAGTTCTTTGTTTTGTTTTATAAATATAAATGTTAAATATGACTAACAAAACGCTGTCATTATTTATGTGCGCACTTTGTCAAGGTGATATGAAGTTTATTTCACAGATAAGTATGTAACTTCCTTTCGTATTCGCCTAAACACAATAACTGTCGTAAATGAAAATACAACTGCCTGGCATACTTACCGTGCCAGCTACCCACCCGATCCCTAGATGTGACACAGTTTTTGTTTTAAATTACCTGTCTAATAGTATACATATAAGTCTTAAGTACTGCCTCGTTGGTCTAGTGGTTGTAGCAGTACGACTGCCGATCATGATGTCTCCTGGGTTCGAAACCCGGGTCGGGCCAAAAGATCAATTATTGAGTTTTCCGTCAAGAAATTCTCATTAGCTGCCCGGAGTCAGGAAGTCCTGTGCCTGATCTCTCTCCGGCGGTTTACCGTCCCATCGGATTACGAGAGTGAGGGAACAGAGTGCACCTGTGCTTGGGCATACACTTGGGCACTACATTCCTGCCCTGCGCCGATGGCTAATCTCCGTTGAGGCAGGCCGCCTTTACCGAAAACCGGTCAGGAGGACATTAAGTCTTTGTCCATATTCAAAATGTTTAACAACATAGAATAATGAGATTCAACGATTTCAATTTTGCAACCACATCCATCATTTCTCCGATATGTATAACAGATAAAACTATAATTGTGTAACTTACACTTTTTGAACCTATACCTCTCCTTACGTGCCTATATTTTTATTGCCTATAAGTTATTGCAGTTTTAGTCACAAAAATACATGTACACAACACGTACATACTTATGTATTTCTTCGTTTGAAGTTATCAGCAGGTGTCTATAAACTGCAGTAGTCATTTACCAACAAGTAGACCGTAAGCTCGTTTTTCGATTCACTTTTATTTAAAAAAAAAAAACCTTATGTATGCAGTGGATGGTGCCTTAAAAATACTGACTGATGATGACAAACAAAGTGTGAGTGTATAATATCGTTTACTCTGCAGTTTGGTGGCCTACTTCCAGGAGTTAGCGTTCAAACACAGATGAAAATGACACTTTTATCAATAGGCTGGACAAAATTACCTGTACTGAAAGGGATTGGGGCAAGTATTCCTTCTATTATTAAAGTTACTCGCAAGATCGTCCTCCGATATACCGCACTTCGAAATATCCGTCTCGGCGAATACTGAGAATCGATGTCCCAATCGACTGGTCCTATGAAAACTGTCGATACTCTCATCCCTATGAAGGATGTCCATACTAGAGCCGAGTTCGAAGCTTGAAGACTTCGTGTTGTCCAAACTAAAGCCTCTATTGTACTCGCAAGTTAAACTGTCTACGCTGTCTAATCTCCTGGTACTTGTGTTAGGGCTACGCCTGTACAGCATATTATCGGATTTGTTATCGCAGCTCTTCAATATCCCTCTACCAGGCAAATCCAGACTCCCTTTATTGTTAAAGGCAACATGTTTAATATCTTTATCGTTAGGAAGGGAGACCCTTTTCTGTTTCAAGTTTGGATCTGCATTAAACGATTGAATGTTGCTGTTTTCCTGTATTTCGTTTTCAGCGTTATCAGTCGTTTCGCCCGGTTGAAAGTCAGGATCCAAAGTATGGAATTTGATTAAAACGGGAGTAGAATGAACAGTGGTAGCGTAATTCGGTGTCCAGTGATCTGTCTCCCGTATCGATACTAAGCCCTCCTGTAAATGAGCAATAAAAACAATATTACAATAAAATTTTCATTAGAGCGCAAATTAAAATGTTTAAGGTCTTGAATCTAAATAAAAGTAAAACATGAAGTAACATGGCACTGGTCACTTCTCATATAATTTCTGAGAAAGTTTTGGAGCAGTAAAGGGTCCACCGCGCTCAAAGGATCGAGCCACGGTTCCTTATATTCTATAACACGAAAAGTTATAACTTACCAGTGATCTACCTTGACCCTAATATAAATAGTTAAAAAAAATGATTTTGTAAGCCACTAAAATCTCTCATGCATAGATGAAATTTTTGGTAAAAAGTGACGGTCAATAACAGGCATCCTTAAAATAATGAAAGCAAAGTTTTTTAAGGCGTAAACTGAGTTGCCCTTGGAGAAGATTTTGTTCAGCAGCAAACTACTGTAATGATAAAATTAACCATAACAAAGACACCGTCGCCTTTGATGGTAGTGCAATAGAATCCATCACCTCATTTCGTTCCGTGGGTGTAGTAAAAGACGACTATGGGTTAAGCCAATAAAATCAAATGGTTTTTGATGGAGGGCGGTATAACAACCTCTTTAAGCCGGACGTAAAATACTCAGACCAGCGAGAACGAGCAGCGTCAAAGAAACGAGGCGTTTGGTACTGCTGTTTCCAAGCGTGAGGAATAAGGCAAATCTTCTCTAAAACGTGCAATATCAATGGAGAGTGACTTATACAGCAGTGCGTCAGCTGATAGTGATGAAGAAAAAAATGTAGCTATTTCTGCGGACCTGCAAGTTACTCATATCCTTGGACTCATCAGTAGTAAATATGAGTTCAATGTCATCCACTTCTGCTGACTCGTTACCGCTGGCATTGTCATCTTTGTCGTCAGGTGCTCCACCGGCCTCCATTGGAGTTGTGCCACCTTCAGAGAAAACTGAATTGTCACCTTCCGACATAGATCTGGAAAACAAACACTATAAAATTAATAATATATACAAAAAAAAACTTAAAGTAAAAAGAACAGTAAAAGAAGCCTTTATACATCCCACTGGTGGGTACAAGCCTTCTTTTAATCCTAGAACGGTTATAGAGCAATTATATTAGTCCTACTTAACATCTTGTATTTAAATATCATAATTCTTAGAAATGCAGGTTTCCTCTCGATGTTATCCTTCACAACCAAGCACATAGTAAAGTCAGCATTTAAATTTGCAATAAAAATTTGCACAAATTACATTATATATTATATACATTATATATTACATTATTTATCATGCATTATATATTACATTGCATGTCCGAGGAGTACAATATTTCGAAGGCATTAAAATCCGCCAACACGCACTGGAGACCCTCTCGGAAATGGGAGGTCTGTGTTTAGCAGTGGGATGTACTCACCTTCTTGCCTACCTAACATGGTGAGCACAGGACAATCTTCCCAATAATGCTTGGTCACTATCAATGATAGTATTCTTGAAAATTCTTCTTTTTTATACAATGCAACTGACAAACGAGCACATAGTCAACCTGAGTGGATGCTGTGGTCCATACACATCTACATTTATCTTCAAATAAGAATCAAAATGCAGATGTGTTTTCACTCCTGAGGACTATTATGGAATGCCTTGTTTCCAGTAAAAAGGATCTCTAGTTCTCAACACTGACAATACGAAAAACAGCAGCATTACGCTGCCATTTTACGCTGGTATTCTGTGAGAGTGTGGTCTTTCCCTGGTTGTGCCGACCCATTCATGCTACAACCATAATATAGCTGTATTGTGGCTCTACCACGTAAATACAATGTCATTGTTGTAAATTATAAATATTACACAAAAAAAGATAGGCTACCATTAGCATTTCACTTTGAATTAAAGTTCAAAAAGATTCAAAATTAGAAATGTAATTTATCTTAAACCTTCCAACCGTTCCAAATGCTGCCTTTGATTAAATCATTACGTATAATGTGAAATCACAAGCCTACAAGAGATATATTATGAAAACCATGCTATTGCTAGTTACATCAAGACTTAAATAATCTTGTTTTAAAGTTATGTGCTTTTTAAAGCACAACATTTACCTTAGAATTACATAATAGTACAAATTACAAATTATAAGTGAATGTGCACTCACCATAAAAATAAGATATCAACAAAAGCAAAATACAAACTTGTTGCACATCTTAAAAGACATGAGATGATATAAGCTACTTCTAGTTATCGTTAAATTTGTATTGCAGTAACTTTTCCATGTCTGTTCATTTTAACTCACTAATAAATATCAAGGTAACAACTATGATTCAGATTGGACAAAAAGCTGTTATAAAAAATACTATTAAAGACTAGTACAGCTTAGCTTTTTCTTATACTGGCATGAGAATTCAATAGTTTTTAAGTAATAGCAATTGATATATGTATATATCTATACTTTTAATTATTTAGTTTGCTCTATTTTCACTGCCCAGCAGTGTAATGTATGTATAACATATGTATGTATGCAGGTTGTACTTTAGTTTAAATGAAGTCATAATATTGGGTTGTTGTGGTCTGCAATTTTTTGCTTTGTCTTTGTATTTATTTAAAAAATATATGGTGTTTTTTTTAAAGTAATCACCCATAAAGAATACACAAACTCTCTCCATCAATTAGGCAGAGCATAAAATTATCACAAATTCTCAGTTTTTGACTGAATGATTATAATATTCTCTTAAATATTCTTAAAATTTTCAAACTGTATATCATTCAAATAAAGCAGTAGCTACCAGAAAAGATGAAAATCTATCAGCTCAAGATCCACCAAAGGTGGGTGTAGTGATATTTTCCAGTAAAATTTTATTTACATGTTAAATGCAATTTTAGCCAAATCACATGCTTAGGCAGTATTGTAGAGTTAAGAAATGTGATTATGTTGTGGACGCTTTTCCTCAATATTTTCAGCTAAATGCTGTAACTACATTTCAGCAAACACAATATTATACTATATTATATTCAACACAATATTTATTGAGTATGGTTTCAAAGGAGGATTGGAATTTTATCCACCCACTGTCTATTGCAATATAATATTATGGTATCCCACTTCTCATCACCCTTAATCAAATTATCAAACCAGCTTCTAGTTCTGCAGTGAGAGAGAAATTGCATACAGGAGTCCACATGTAACTGACAATGCTCTTCCTATATTGGAACCCCAAAACTTAAATGTCATACTTTTCCTAATGCAGCTAGATGTCGAATTAGTGGTATGACCAACATCTAATACACTTTCTTATTCTCAGATATTTAGATAGGAATTCTCTTTAATAAACTGCAGCAATCTCGATGAAAGACCAAGGTTTGTCTTTGAGCTTGTAATTTCACTGTTTATCAAAGCAATTGTACTGTCCTTTGTAAATTATGTAACAGTTCATTATCATCATCATCATTACACCCCTTCATAAGTCCCCCGCCGAACATAGGCTTACCCCAAGGAATGCCAAAATACATGATCCTGAGTCACCTGCATCCATCAATTTCTTGCAACTATTAACAGGTTAATATTTCATCTAGTTCATCCTACATTTTATTCACATAGTATATGAGGCTGTCACTCGAGGACCTTTCTTCTTCATCGGTTGTCACCTCTTCGAGCTATATGGCAGGCTTATTGTCATTTCAGCTTTTTTTATAGAAGAGAGGGCAAACGAGCATGCGGCTCAGCTGATGTTAAGTGACTACCGCCGCCCATGATCAACCGCAACACCAGGGGAATTGCAGGTGCGTTGCCGGCCCTTTAGAAAGGAGTAAGCTCTTTTCTTGAAGGTCCCCATGTTGTATCGGTCCGGAAAAATCGCCGGTAGTAAACTATTCCACAGAGAGGTTGTACACGGAGGAAAACTCCTTCTGAAACGTACAGTGGTGGACCGCCAAGCATCCAGATGGTGTGGACGGTATCGGGACGTTTGCCGCGTAGTGCGTTCACGAAATTTGACGGCTGGGATTAATCCGAACAATTCCTCAGAGCACTCTCCATGGTATATGCGAAAGAAAATGCAAAGAGATGCAACATCTCTTCGCAGTGCCAGTGAATCGAGCCGATCGGAAAGCACTCGGTCGTCGACGATTCGAGCCGCTCTGCACTGGATGCGGTCAAGTGGAAGGAGCTGGTACTGTGAGCCCCAGCGCAGAGATGGGAACAATATTCCATGTGCGGCCGAACCTGCGCCTTGTAAACTTGCAGGCGGTGTGCCGGCATGAAATACTGTCCCGCTCTGCTGAGCACGCCAAGCTTTTTAGAGGCCAATTTGGCCTTCTCTTCCAAGTGACCACGAAACTGCACGTCACTCGATATGACGACGCCGATGATTCCGATACTGGCTGAGGCAACAAGGGTAGTGCCTTGAAACTGAGGAGATACGACAAAGGGGTTCTTTTTAGCGGTTAACGCGCAAACTTGTGTCTTCTGGGGGTTAAACTGAACTAGATTTAGTCGCCCCCAATCCGAGACTTTGTTCAGCAAAGACACACAGCAGGCACTCGGAGACGTTTTCCCGAGAAATATTGGCTCGGCCGGTGTAAAGAGCCAGTGCTGTCATCTGCATAGCAATGAATGTTACGGGTTTGCAACATATCATTGATATGCAGAAGAAACAGCGTTGGCGATAGCACGCAGCCTTGTGGAACACCAGCATTAATAGGCTTGCAATCGGAGCTTGCACCGTCTACAACGACCTTGATGCTCCGATCTGCAAGAAAACTGGTGATCCAATTGCACAATTTCTCGGGAAGCCCATAGGAAGGGAGCTTCGAAAGAAGCGCTTTGTGCCAAACCCGATCGAAGGCCTTCGCAATGTCCAAACTAACGGCCAATGCCTCCCCCTTGGACTCTACTGCCTCCGCCCATCTGTGAGTTAGGTAGACCAGAAGATCACCAGTTGACCGACCACGGCGAAAACCGTATTGGCGGTCACTAATCAGCTGGTGATCCTCAAGGTACCTTATGAGCTGGCAGTTTACAATGGACTCTGGTCTTCCATGATTTTGGGACTACGCCTAGGGAGTAGGAGTACCGGAAAAGACGCGTTAAAACAGGTGCCAATCTGGAGTACACGTTCTCAGCACAATTGGTGGGATTCGGTCAGGCCCACTCGACTTGTGGATGTCCAGGGATGTGCTTTGCGAACCGAGCGCTGTGTAAACTGCACTTCCGGCATGGAGCACTCACACCGCGGGATGGTCGACGGCGTACTCCCCCCGTCATCGAGAGTCGAGTTGGACACAAAAAAAGAGCCTAGAAGATCGGCTTTCTCCTTTGCGGTATGGGCCAGTGAGTCATCCTCCCTGTGCAGAGATGGGAGAGGTGGCTGACAGAAATTCCCCTGGACAGCCTTGGCGAGAGACCAGAATGCACGGGTTCCAGAAAGAAGGCGAACTAGTTTCTCGCCAATTCTGCCTATGTGCTCTGACTTTGCCTTGGCAATGACTCTTTTGAAGGACCTAGAGGCGGAATTATACTTCTTTTTTAGAGCGCTGGTGTTTACATCCCGGGATGCGTCAGCCCGGGCTTGGTAGCACTCCTGATTATAGCATGATGCTATTTTACAGGAGCGACCAAACCATGGCTGAGATTTGCCTCCAATGGGCACCACAGAGGAAGGAATAAAAAGTTGCATACCCTGAAGTTTCACATCGGCGACAGAATCCGCAACAACGTTGGGATCGTCCGTCGAGAAGCAAACCCGCCACCAAGGGTATAGTGCCAAACACGGCGGCAGCCTGCAGAATGCAACTGCGATTTCAGCGTGAGTGGCACCACACTCAGGACAAGACAATGGTCCGAGGAGCCTAAAGGGGTGTCGACGGAAATCCGTCCGGATGCGAGGTCAGCAGAAGGTCCAACAGGGAAGATGCATGATCCTCCACATCTGGAATCCGCAAAGGCGAAGTAACCAGCTGTGTCAGACCATATGCCAAGGCAAAATCATG